AGTGGGCCAACCCCGGAAATCTTCTCTTAGGGAAAAACAATGCCAACGGCCCTTGGGAGGCCATATGGTCCTTGTTAGAGGCAAGACACCCGGGATAAACATGGAAGCAAAAGGAAGAAAACAAACACTTCCCAAGAAACGGACAGATTATACCAAGTGGCACGCTCCTGGTTTTGAGCTCAGAAGGGGGAGAGAAAAAAAAACCCCAAAGCCCAGCAATTTTCCTATTACTGCAAAAATATCCCATCAGAGGCGATTGCCAGTTGAGAAGCCTGAAACCCCAAATGGGTCTTTAAGGCTCCATTAGCTGCCAGGAAAATGAGCTCCAGAAGATGCCAAAACCCCTTCCTGAGCTGTAACACGCAGAAAAGGAGCGGGAGGCTGGGAAAAGCCTTGGAGCAACCACCCTATGGGGTCCCTTCTGCTCGGAAAAGGTCTCCAGATGAGCAGACTGCAGCCTCCTAAGAAGCTCGGGTGGACCAGGGACAGGATTCGGCCTCAGCTCCGTTTTTAACCTGTTTTTTGAGGACACCACAGAGGGCTGAACGTGCTGGGGTTCCCATCCAGCCCTCAGGAAGCCAACAGGATCACTCCCACCCTTGGATGTGTCCATGCGCTTTGGTGCTCTGCTGGATCAGGTCTGCAGGGATGGGAGGGGAGTTGAAAGAAGCCCGGGGACGTGCGATTTTCTGGCCCACCTATGTGGAGGATTACTCTGGGAGTCAGCTAAAACACCTTCCCCTTCCGTCACAACCATTGCTCTGGCCGTGGGAATGGGGAGGGCTGGGGCTGTGGGTGCCCTGCCACCCACAGGGTGATGGCACCTCCTCCCCGCCGTGCTGAAGAAGCCTTTGAGCTGTGTGACGAACACAACCAAAGCGAGGAATAGGAGCAGCCCATCGGAAATGGAGGTGCTGTCACAAACCGCAGCTCACCCAGCCCTGGAGATTGCCATACAACCTATTTCCTTTACGAAGTTCCTGTTACAAAAGTGAGATTTTAAAAATATAACAGCCAAAATGTGCTTTTGGCAGCAACCTGCCGTGTCCATGCTGGAGTCGATCAACACTGCACCGCTTCACTGGGGTTTGGGGGGGACCGGAGCACTTTGCAAGGATGGTTTCCCATTAGGCACCTGAGCCCTGCCTGTCCCCCAGCCGAGCCAGATCCCAGGTCAGAGGCCAAGGACTTTGCTCTCAACAAGGTGGGGAGAGGATCAGTGTCATGACTGGGGAAATACAGCGAGGGCTTCCTGTGCCATCTGCTGAGCCCGAAGCCCTGGCAGAAGGAGCTTTCCTGGAGCTGGTATTTGGGGCAGATGAGCCACGCTCAGCCAGGCTTGCAGTGGGAGGAGGGGTTCCCTCCACCATCCCCTCCCACACCCCACTCCTGACCAGACACTGATGACATATAGGAAAGGGGGGCAACGGGGACACGGTGTGGGGCTGCCCCATGGGGCAGGGTGTTCTCTGGTCATGGGGACCCACTGGCACAGCCCAGGCTCAGCTGTGGCTCCCCAGCAGCCTGACCCACACCGGGCTGGTGGAGACAGCACCAGGGCTCATTGCACCTCAGGGTCCTCAGGTTGACACCGGGGCTCGCTGCCCACCCGGGGCTCCCGGGGCAGCACCGGCACCATGGCTCAACGTGAGCTCGGTGCTCCCAGGCCGGCACCGGGTATTGCTGGGAGTCAGGGAGCCCCGGATCGGTACTGGCTCTTGCTGTGCCTCTCAGGATCCCAGCTCGGCAGCGGGGCTGCCTCGGGGGTCCCGGAGCAGCACCGGGACTCTCGGACCAGACGGGGGCTGGCTGGGTGCAGGGCTCCTGGATCGGCACCGGGGCTGGCCATGCCGCTGGGCTCCCAGATCAGCGGTGGGGCT